AGCAGTACCGTGCACCGTAAGTCTTCGTCTTGTGGGCTGGACCACCCCTGGCGGCGCAGCCCATGTAGTCTGCCGTGGGTATCCGGGGTCGTACCCCCCACAAGTTCACAGTGAGGGAGAAGAGGGGAGAAGAGAGGCGTTGTGGGGTCCCAAGGTCTCGTCGTGTCGTCGTTTACCTAGCTGGTGCCAAGGTGGAGTGAGGGCGCGACAGTGGGGGCGTTGACGCGTGGCTCTGTGCCGCGTACGGCTGCCGACCGCGAGGTAGGCGAAGGAGCTGACGAGTGGGGCCTGGGCGTCGATGAGAGAGGGGGAGAAGTGAGGGGCGCGGGTGAGGCCGGGCCGGGTGCTGGGCTGCTGCCGCTGCGGCACTTGCTGGGCCGGCCCACGCGGGAGAAGGGAATGGGGAGGGGAGAGCGGAGAGGGCTGCTACGGGCCGAAGGGGAGAGGGAGAGATTGAGCCTGTGAGGCTTTTATATATTTCTATTTCCTTTTCTTTTTCCCGACCTTTATATGCATTGTTTAAATTGGTTTTTGAATTTAGATTTAAAATGCAAAAATGCAATGAGTACCACCATATGTCCAGCAAGTCAAGCAAACATTCACACACAAGGTTTCACACATCAAGTTTTATTTTTATGTTGATCTATTTATACTATATATCACCTAGGTTAGTTATATATTTTAGTTTCTATGTAAAGTTATAAAAAGTTTAAATTTTTAGTGATTTTTAAACTAGATCAAATTTTAGGGTGTTACATAAGCTGGGCAGCATCTTGGCATCACGACTCCAAATCGCACAGCCACCGCCAGGGTGTTGACAGATGGGACCGTGACACTTGGGTTCGCCGCTATCCTAGCCTGCAATGCCCGCCCAATCCAATGCACATAACACAAACAATGTTATAAAGGAAAAGCATGGGCACCAAGTATATATGCACAAGGCCCAACTAAAACAATGTTGAGAGAACTTGAGATCCATCACAGGAGGGAGAATGGGAGATGCAGGGCAAGCACCTTGATGACGGTGTTGCCGACCTGAAGCTTGTCCCTTTGCAGCTCAAAGTGTCCAAACAACCGCAGGGCTGGGGCATGGACAATCTTGATCGTGTGCTTCGAGTCATCGGATGGTACTAAAGTCTGCAGGAAGAGCCGCTCGAGGCGCGAGGCGCTGACCACTACAATGCTGTCCAGCCTGCACAAGTGGATCTACAGGCACCGCAGGCTGTGGCTGACGAGATGGAAATGCAGCGGAAGCAGGAGGCCTTCAAAGCATAGTATCTCCAGAACGGGGCTCCTGGACAGGACAAACTCGAGGTCCTGGGTTTCGATGTAGAGGCTGCAGAGGCCGAGCTCGCGGAGATGCGGGAAGGCGGCGCTGCGCGGGAGGCGGGCCGTGTCGGGGAACTTCCAGAACCCGAGGTAGAGGCAGGCGAGCTCGGCCATGTTAAAGAGCGTGGACGTGGAGGGGATGGGCTCCTTGGTCTCGAGTGGCCACGGGCGGTTGATGAGGAAGAGCTCCTGGACGCCCTTGTCAGCGAGGAGCTAGAGCCAGCGCGAGAGCTTGGCCCGGTGCTCGTCCATTTAGCAGCAGGTGAGGCGGATGCAGTGGAACGGGCCCGGGTGCGCGGCGAGGATGCGGGAGACTGCGGCGGCGACGACGCTGGAGCTGGCACGGTCGAGGTGGTCGGGGATCTCGTCCTCGCCGGCCGGGAGGAGGTGGGTGTCGACGAGCACGAGCGGGGCGGCGCGCCAGATGGGCCTCCAGCGGCGGGAGAGCACCGCCGTGCGCGCGAGGTCCTTAATGGGGAGGCGGGAGACGATGTTGCCGAGGAGCACGTCGGGGAGGAGGCTGAGGTGGTCCACGCCTTCGCCGTCAGCATCGAAGAGGATGCAGAGGTGGCCGTCGACGAAGACGGGCGGGTCAGGGAGCACATCGTAGATGTAGGAGATCACGCGGCCAAAGCGCGCTTCCTGCTCCTGCGGGTCCACGCCTTGGCGGAGAGAGTCACTCTCCAAGGGGAATGGCGGTGCAAAGTTGGCCATGGCCCCCTCCACTGCCGCCGCCGGACGGGAAAGCGACAAAGGCGAGGGCTTGTGGTTTGGGAGGCGGCGAGGGGAAGCGAAGAGTGGACTGGAGACGGAAGAGTGCTTTGCTACCCATTGTTGTGTGAGTGTGACCGAGCGACCTAGGGTTTGGTGGGCCGGCCAAGTGTCGAAAGCCAGTGGTTAACGGGCCCACTAGTCACTCAATGTCTCTTCTTCAATTACAGATAGATAGTTTTTTCTTTTAAATTTTCTTGGTATCTTTAATACGAGTTCTGGAGAAACTAAAATTGGAGGTTTTTTTTTGCTATATATAGGAGCATATAGTAAAATTTGTATATTTGGAGAAACTAAAAGGTTTTATATTTAGAATGGAGTTTGCACTTTTTTTACAAATTAGAAATACAATTTTTTTCATTACAAATAAGGACACGGAGAAAGCATTGTCGGGTCCCTTAGCAATAACTTGGAAAAGTGCTTGTTATTAAATGGAGGGAGTAGGCCAGTAGCCTAGTAACAGACTGACCCAACAGCTCTGCTGCCACGTTTCTGAGGATGAAAACGGTACGAAAATATCCCGTACCAAACCATATTATTTTCTACATTTAATCCGATCGAATTCGTATTTTTGGACAAATTTGAATTCGGTTCGAAATTCGGAACACCAAATTCGAAATTGGAACGAAAACAGTTTAGATATTTTTTCCGACCGTTTTCTACTTTTCTATTTTTAATTCGGAATATCCCGAATTCGAAATTCGGTTTATACCAAATTTGGCCCACTAGAAGTTCAACCTTAGAAAAATTATATTTTTTCATATGATCTCGGATGAAGATGGTTTTTATATGAAAATTATAGCTCTCGACGAGATCTACAACTTTATAGTATTTAGTTTTTTCATTTGAAGTTTTAAGATGTTTGAAAAAATTAAACAAAATTTCATGGGTATATTAATCGCATACAAGCGCTTGCTGCCTTAAAAAATCATATATTCCTTACATGGTGTCGAATCGAGATATTTTGTAAGAAAATTGTAGGACTTGTTAATTATTATTCACTTGATAATTGTTATGCACGGGTCAATATTCCGTATTGATTTTTCGTATACCGACCGTGTTCGACATAATTCCGTTCGAATTAGTTCGTTTTCGAAATTCTCAATATTCCATAAGTTCGTGTTCATTTTCGTGCCCGGCTTTACCGCTTTCGTTTTCGTTTTCGTTTTCGTTTTCGTTTCGTTTTCGTATTCAAATAGAAGTAGAAAACGGTCTCTAGGGGCGTGTTTGTGACCTTGTACCTGGCCGGCCTAGCCAGCCCAACTGGCCTAGGCCTGGGCAAGCCTGCCTCAAGTGGTGCAACAGCTCTTGTTTGCGTGTGTACCCAGTGAGCCCGGCTCAGGCGAGGCTGTGTTTGTCATCGAAGAGACAGCCGGGCTGAGAGGCTAACCGCCACCAACTACCACACCGAGATAGTGTTTGTCATTTGGCTGTGGTCGGTCAGGCCCATAACAACAAATAGAAATAGACATGAATTAAAGGAGAATGCGGTTGCTCTTCCATAACCGTTACAACAACAAATCAAAGTTTCAGCATGAAATAGTTGGTCTCAGACATGCTAATTTAACAATTCATGGCATTACTGGCTACATGGGATAATCAAAGTCAGTAAAGAAGAACAGAAGCATGGGTCAGTCAAGTTTTGAAGCCAACAAACGAAAAAGTTCACAGAAACAGATAAGAGACAGCAAAATGATATGTAGCCAGCTAATGCATCGATCCATTGTGTCATCATTGGCCAAAATACAACATTTAATAGTTTGGCAACCCGAGAAGGGCAACAAGTTAACAAAAAGCATGTAGCCAGCTAATGCAGTCATCCTATTGTGTCATCATCGGCCTAATTAAAACAACAACTGTGGCACATGAACAGCTTGAGTGACAGAACAACTACAACCATAAACAAGATCAAGATGACAACCTTTTTGCAACAGCCTTACAGCCCAGGTGAATGAGGATAGATTTCAGAACCTTGACCTGTCACCAGTTCATGGGATGCTGATGCATCCCCATGAGGGGCATGAATTGGTAACAGCAAGGGTTCTTGAGGTACCCTTGCATTAAAATCTCTAAGAGCATCATCATAGTTGTTGTACTTCTGATAGATAGCCCCTTCTTCCCTAAGCACTTGCTTAGCACACTCATACCATGTAAAATAAATCTCAGGTTTCTTCCCTTCAAAGACCACATAGCAGGGAGGCATTCTCTGAAACCAACCAAATGTAGAACATGTAAGTGGTCTGAATGACATGCCTCAGTCGACCATTCAGTTTGAATGATGGTGAACATCATCGGCAACTTGATAAAAAAATTAGCCTCAGCTGTTATTTTCCTTGTTTAGTCATTGGTGGCTACCAAGAATTGTAAGAACCAAATAAAGAGGCAAATAAACAACAGTTGCACTCACTGCCATCAGCCATCACAAGAGGATGTTGTTGCTGTGGAGTACAACTGAGCATAAGTGTAGAATGGAAGGATAGGCAAATAAAGAAGAAAGCACAACAACAAAACCATCAAAACAAGAATAAGGTAGCCACCTCAAGTTTGTTTTATGCATCATAGGCCTTTAAATCCCACAGTTACCACCAGAGGCATAAACAACAAAAATAGGCAACTAGTTATCAAATAAAAAGTAGCCAACAGAGGCTACAAATAAGTTTCTTACAATACCAAGTTGAGCCCAACAGCCAAGGGCTCAAATGTTCCAAATCCTTGCCTATTGTTAGCCACCCTCCTAGGCAAACTACACCATCAAGGTCAGGTGTCAAAAGAACAAGCAGACTGCACAAAAGGTCCTGTTGTCGAAAGAAGAGAGAGTGGGTGAGGGGGGGGGGTGGAGGAACTATACATCTCTACAGTCAACCCCCTCCTGGCCTTCTAGCCCTTCATGTGTAGTGGAACTACACATAGTAGTTTTTGGCCAGGAAGGTCCTAAGCCAAAGGGCCCTGTGGGCATCACTCATGTTCACAAAGCCCCTGCCTTGGGCCTTGTTGTCCAGGAGGAAGGTGTAGGCAACAATAAGTGCCTCCTCACTGAAGCCAGGCATCTCCATCACAGCAAGGTACAGATTGGCATCAACATGGGTAGGTCCAGTCTCCCTAAGAGCATTGGCCACATTGTTCACAGCATTTGACATGTTAGTCAACATGAGCATCTTCTCCTCAGAGAAGTTCCCTCTCTTCCTCTTTGGGCCAGCAGCTGAGGAGATAGGAAGTAGTTCAGTGGCCTTGCTATCCCCTCCCTATTCACTGGGAACTGTGGTGTGGGTCAAAGGAGGACCATCATCCTTGGCACCAACACTATCAGCCTGGTTCTACCCTAAGGCTTCACCAGACCCAAGTGCAAACTTGCCTGTGGCCATGGCATTAGCAAAGATAGCCTCCATCTCAGTGTAGAACCTAATAGGGCAGTTAAGAAACTCTGCATCTTTAGGATGGTCCTGCAGAGTTGGGCAAATGTAGTTTAAGAAAGGCAAATGTAGGTAGTCAAGGCAAAGACGAGATCAAACTGCTACCTTGCAGTGGCCAAGGTAATGCTCTTGCTCAAGCATGATAGCATGAGCCTGGTCATCCCAAAGAGCAGCACTAAGGTCCTTCAACTTGCTCACCCTAGCCCATTTCTGCCTCCACTTCCTCAAGTGGTTGTACACTTGAGTTGGGCTAACAACCTCCCCCCACAGAACTGCTTGAGGGCTTTGTGGCCACATAATTCACATCTTTGTCCTTGAAAACCTTTTTAGACACTGCTACCATCACTAACAAGGGTAGCCATCCTCCTTAGCACAAAGCAGAGGTGGTGTTGGTCCACCTCATTGCCCAAGGCAAGCCCCATTCCCAGCTACAGGAGAGCAACATCAACAGGTTTGCTGCACCTAGAGCAGCACCAAGGCACCAACATCACTGCAATAGGGGCAAAGCAGACTAGCACCAAAGACTACTACAACAGGGGCAGAACCACCATTGATGAGCTGCTCCATCACTGAAGTACCAGCAACAAACCCACCCTCAAATGCACCTGAATCCATCCTAGGACTGGCATGTAATGAAATCAACAACAGAATTAGTCAAGAACAGACTGACAACAATATTAACAGTTGTATGAACTAACCACAGACTAACAGATCATGAAGAACAGAATGTTTCAAGAACAGAATGAATGAAGCATAAAATTGGTCTTAGCTTTGTCCACCAAATTATTACATCACCATGACACACACATGAGTTCTATAGCAGGGTACAGAAACTAAATTCAAGAACATATTACATCAACTAGTGTTTGTTCCCCTCCCTTCCCACATAGCATTGCAAATGGCATCCCTTATTTCAGCCATGTCAACAGAGTCTTGGTCCAGATGGGCTGGGGGCAGGTTGGTTGGATCAGCAGAAGTAGTGAAACCTTCCTCATCAGGCACTACTTCATCAATGCCAAAACCTAGGATCCAGTTATGCAAAATGGCACAGGCAACTACAAGCTTCACTTATGTCCTATACTTGTGGAAGGGTTTGTTGTCCAAGATCCTAAACCTACCCTTTAGTGCACCTATAGCCCTCTCCACAGTCACTCTAAGTGATGAGTGCCTAAGGTTGTAGAGCTCCCTTGCATTGGTGGGCCTATTCCTTGGGCCATACTCAGACAAATGGTACCTAACCTCCCTGTAGGGAGGTAGGAAACCATTTTTGCATGCATACCCAGCATCTACCAAGAACATTTTACCTACACAAGACATCTACTGTGAGAGTGTGTGTTAATAGGCCATGGAATATGTAATTAGTGTTGGTGTGCAATTACCTTCTGGCAAACTCAAGCCATCTTCCCTGGCTACAGCATCTACCAAAACAGTTGCATCATGGGCAGAGCCCTCCCAGCCAGCCAGGACATAAGTGAATTTCAGATCACAATTCACAGCTACCATCACATTTTGGGTGGGATCCTTTTTCCTACCCCTAAAAGCTTGTTGCATGCGCCTAGGAACCCTTGCTAGAAAATGAGTGCCATCTATAAAGCCAATGACATCCTAAAAAGCATGGGTCAATCATTGCAACAGGTCTAATGTAACTAATGAACCCAGGGTATACAATTACCTTAAAATATGGATTCCATGTATGGCTTCCAAGAATCTTTGGGTGAATGGTAGTGCTAGCTGGCTTTATCATTTCATTCCTAAGCTCACCCACAGCATACAACACCTGATGGAAGTGCTTGTGGACAGTTTGGATGGACCTCCTAAAGGACTGGTGGACAACCTTAAATCTTTGGTTGTGCCCTACAACATGTAAAAACATGGCAACCTGCTCTTCTACTAACACCCCCTCCCTATCAGTGACAAGACTTCTCTCTCTAAAAGTTCTCACTAACTTAAAAAAAGCAACTCTCTTCATCCTAATCATAGAAATACATTCTGAATCAGTGGAATTATATATCATTCTCAATGTTCTTTGTCTATGCTTTTCATTTTCATCCCTAAGCAGGGCCAATGCTATAGGATCAGGCAGTGGGGTTTCAGGTTCAGGGGTTTTCCTTTTCAGCCTAGTGGATACAAAGGTAACCATAACAACAGTCAAGGCAGCTGCCTTCCTACACAGCATGTCACGGCTCAAAGACAGATCCATCTACAAGCATGTAAAAATGTAACATGATTTCAGCTTAATGTACCCTGCTAGGCATCAACATGAATGTGAAATGAATGCATGCCAACAAAAGCACGGCTGCATCTTGTATGTGATGCCTCCCAGTACTATGTGGACAACATCATCGACCAATGATGGAACAAAAAACTCAGAGCAATAGTAATTAGAAACAGATCAACATCCCTAACAGATCAAGAACAGCAAGGTACAAGTAACACTAACAACTGCATCAAACAGTTATGAACAGCAAGGTACAATACAAATCTGAAACAGATCAACAACCCTAACAGATCACGAGCCCAACAGATCAAGAACAGCAAGGTACAAGTAACCCTAATAGGAGCATGAAGCAGTTATAACAAGTATGAAACCCTAACAGATCATGAACAGCAACGAACAAGAAACCCTAATAGGTTCAAGAAGCACCACAAAAAAGAAGATTGGGGGTCGATTTCACCTTGGCTCGGGGTCCAAACAACGGAGAGGAGGCAGATCTGGAAGTAGAGGATGCAGATCGGGAAAAAGACAAAGCAGATGCGGATGGAGAAGAAGAGGAACACCGCTGCCACGGAGTCCTAGCAGCAGCCGGAGCGGGGACGCGGCGAAGAAACTTGGCGTCGGTGACCTAACCCACAACCAGCCAGAGGTCGCCGCCACCGCCACGCACCACAACTCACCGCCGGTCTCTCATGAGGGAGGTGGAAGAGCAAGCACCGAGTGGAAGAAGGAGAGAGTGGAGAGTGGGAACCCGTATACAAAGGCCGGTGAAATCGCCGCCATTTCACTTCGCGCGCGGCGGCCAGAGCGGGAGCGAAGAGCGGGGACGCGCGCGAAGACGTTTCCCCTTCCAACCAGAGCCCGCGCGAGCCACCCCGCCGCCGCCCAAAATCGCCCGCGTGCGTTGCCGACGAGCTCGGTTCCGAAGAAACGAGGGTTTCAGTCGTTTCCAAAGAGCCAGGCGGAGAGGTCGAGTGTTGCTCTACGAAGCCAGGCTCGCTTGCGGGCCATCGACCACAAACATGGCAACTTGCAGCCCATGGGCGCAGTCGGGCCTCTCCGGGCCAGGGTCGCAAACGCGCCCTAGGTTTTCCGACCGTTTTCAACCGTACTCATATCCAAACCTCAACAGCACCATTCAAGCCAGCAAGTTCCATTGGCCCACGTGCCCTCTTGCTGCCGCTTGTTGCCATTCCAGCTATTCCTTATAACAGCCGAGCCGTGGCCCCATTCTCCATTTGTAGAGAGCGGACGCTGCAGGAGCACTCAACCAGGCGCCGCCTCCATCACATGCCCATTCGTCTGCCCCACGCACAACTTTCATGTTCCTCTCCATAGCCTTTCTTCCTAGCGGTGAAATAACACGGGGTGACGAGTGCGCGACGAGCGCTTGCACTGTCCTCCGGTAGGCATGCGCCAACACACCTATGATGTCGCTGATGATCCACTATGCAACATGCGGGATTTTACCCTTCCTCGGTGCATAGTTTGGCACTTTGGCTGTCCAGCGGAGACACCGCAACCTCGCGGCAAGAACCTAGATTCCCAGAGGGACACAGGCCAAACGCCTTGCTAGTTGCTACTCCGGGCATCGACGGGCAAGAACCCAGACACATCAGCAGGTAAAGTGATGGTTTATATGTTGATGTGTTTTTTTTTAATAAATAAGGTCAAGATTATTAGAAAAGTTTGATTTAAAGTAACATTGTACATTTTAGAACACAGGGAGGAGGGCTACATTTTGTTTTAGACAAAAATAAGCATATTCTACTTGACGTTGAGAACTGTGGCTCTCTCCGCCATTGGGGCGTCCATCGGCGCCACTACCCTGCTACCGCCCGATCGCTGTGTTCTCTACTTGCCAACTCCCCCTGTCCCAAAAAGAGTGACGTTTTTGACTTTTAGACATCGTTTTTGACTTTTAGACATCGTGTTTGACCGTTCGTCTTATTTAAAAATTTTGTATAAATTATAAAATAAATAAATCAATATTAAAGTATCTCTAATGATAAAATAAATCATAACAAAATATATGATATTTATATAAAAATTTGAATAAGTCGGATGGTCAAACAAGATGTCTGAAAGTAAAAAAACGACACTCTTTTTGGGACGGAGGGAATATGTGTTATGTGTTATATTTGTCATAAAATTGAGTTTAAAATGCTATTTATAAAGAGTGATAAAATTGATTTGAAAAGGCTATTTAAAGACTAAAGTGTTGTCGCTCGGTAGTTTGGAGAGAGCTGAACAACGGAGGGAGGGACAAGGCGCATCCTAAGAACGCAATTTTTTAACCACATCATTCATATAATAAGAGAATTTTTATTTGCACAAGATGACACATGTATGTCACACGTATATAGTTACTCCCTCTGTCTCGAAATAGAAGGAATCTATTGTAAAGTGAATGGAATAAACAAAGATTTGGGAACAATTGTCTCTTTCATTGATCTCTTTGGATTATATACAAATGAAGGGTCACGTTGTATGGACGTCGTATGGACGTGACTGTTCGGGAAAGGCAACTGTTCACTAGAACAGTCTACTACCGAAGGGACATGCCCCTTCATAGTGCTACAGTTACTACTAATCTAATCTCTAATCCTAACTGCTTGTACGGACGTCATACGGATCCGTACGGACGGATGAGATCATATGTAGAAGGACGCATGTTGGTGTACTGGCGTCATTTCACAACACTCCCCCTTGATCAAATCTTCTTTGAGATCAATACAGCTGTATGATTGGATTACTCGAAAAAACCTGTGGGAAAAATCGAGGAATATGTATGTATAGATATGCTATAAAAACTCATTTAAACCTTATAGAAAAATAAGGAGAAAATAGCATATATGAGTGTGATTTAAATAAATCACTATGTCATTGGTATCCCATTAAAAACCCCAGTGGAAAAAAATATTGGAGATACGACATATAGATTACTTCCCAAAAACCATTTCAGAAAAAATATGAGGAGCAATATAAAGTGATATGTCGCTAAAACTCCTGTAAAAACCCAGTGCGAAAATTAGAAGAAAATATGACGACATATTATTGGTATTGCTTCTTGGATAACTCA